TTTATTAAAAAAAATGGCATTTATGTAAAAATATCTCATTTTCAAACTAAATCGTTTGTTTGAGTTAGGTACTTATTTTAAAAACTATTAAACTTTAATTTTTTTTTACGGAGAAAAATTGCATCCTGTTTGCATTTTTTATACAAAAATGCAAACAGGAATCATTTATATTTCCAAACCAGTAAAATTATCACATCTGAGACCAATTTCAATTTCATTATAAATTTTGGCATATAAAATGATATTTTATGAAAAGTAATGTATCTGATTTATCTTTTTAGAATATACGAGGTGTGTTCAAAAAGTAAGGTGAATTTTTATTTTATGGAAAAATATTTACTTATTCATCAATATTTATTTTGTTCCCTTCAAAGTATTCCTGCTCAGATATAATACACTTGTGCCAACGTTTTTTCCAATCCTTGAAGCACTTCTGGTAAGCATTTTCTGGTATAGCCTTGAAGCGATAAACATGGATAATGATGGTGAAAGTAATCTACTTACTGAAGAAAAAACAATTAACATCGTATGCAGCTTACATAAATATTTAAAAATAGAAAAAAATAATAATATACATAAACATTAGAAGCTTGAATGCAGATTACAAAAAATTAATAGTTTTCATAAACAGGTTCCTAATAAGACTTAGCATTATAATATGTACAGAAATTTGGAATCTGCAACATGAACAAATTCTAAATATAGATGGATATAACATCTATTATAATAATAGTAAACTAAACAGATCAGATGGTGTAGTAATCTATATTAACAATGACATCAAAGGAAACACAGAAATAATACAAATCAATAACTTGAAAATAATTATCTCGAAAATAATATTACTAAACAGTAAAGAATTAAATTTGTCCTCTGATTACAGATCTCACGACATTCATAAAACCGAATTCATAATTAATTTTAAAAAGTTTTTAAAACTCAATCAAAATAAGAAAAATAGTATAATAGTTAGTGATTTTAACTGTGATATACTTAGCCAAGAAATAATGGACCAAGAATTTCTACAAGTACTTTTAAAAAATGGCTATTGTCCTGATTTTCACGGTATAATCAGACCATCCATTGATAATAACAATAAAAGTTCATGCATTGATAATTTCTTCATGAAGTTTGATAGGATAAAATTACAATACATATCTATTAAGCACGCTATTCAACAGCCATTATGCACTGATAGTGTCATTGAAGGGTTTAAAAAAGAAAATTCGACAAGATACAAATATCATTAAAATAAATTTCCAAAAATTAAACAGCATAGCTAGAACTATAAATTGGGGTGAAATAGAAATACAAGCAGATTTAAACCAAGCTAACTTGACTCTTATGAACATTAAACAATGCATACAAAAAGCTAAAATGGTTAACAACATAAGTAAAAAGAACAATAAAATAGAACCTAGAAAAGTATGAATAACTAAATTACTAATATCATTTAAAACTAAAGAAAAACTTAAAACATCGGGAAAACCGTCCAAATTAATACAATAAAAAAAGAAAATTACAAAAATTATGTCAAAACAATTGACATAGTCATTAAACAAGCAAAAGAAACTTGATACAAATCTTATCCAAGCCACAGTTCACAATCCTAGAAACCTATGGTCAATAATTAATAATAAATTAGGAAAAAACACAAATAAAAATAATTACATTGACTACATCATTCATAATAACGCCAAAATTACTGAACCAACAACAATAGCAGACATAATGAATGAATTTTTTTGCAATATTAGAATAGAACTTAGTAGCAAAATAAACGCACCACTACATACACATATAAAATAGAAGAGATCATTGCCAAAATGAAAAATAAAAATGGTGGAGTCGGTGGCATTAACACGAAAGTAATAAAAACATTAACTGAAGTTATAACATCTCCCATAGCACACATAATAAACTTAAGCATCGAAAATGAAATTTGGCCAGATGCACGAAAAAAAACAGAAATTAAACCAATCCACGAATCTAAAGAAAAACACTTACCTAAGAACTACAGACCAATATCATTCATTTCTAGCATAGTCGAGATATTTGAAAAAATTATCCACAAAAGATTTTTAAGCTTAAAAAAGATTACAACTTAATATCAAGTAAACAATTTGGCTTCCAAAAGAACAAAAGCACCAAAGATACATTAAATTATGGAACAAATATTATATACAAACAACTGAATCACAGTGATCCAATTGCTATAACTATTTTCGACCATTTCACGGATGTGTACGATCGGTTGATCGAGTTATTCGCTTGCATGCTCGCTCGCTACCGATTTCCTCGTATTCGCAGGTGTGACGGGAGAGCTAAGATGTTATGCGCGGTCGCTTATCGAAAACAATAACGCGAAGCTGGCCAGCTTACCTTATGCGATTAGCCGCGTTGTCAGGGGGAAAAGTTCAACGTCGTAGTTTTGCGCGTGACTCAGGTTGCCACTTTTCCGAATTAAAGACGAGGCTCTCTCTGTCGTCGTGATGCTTCCGTCGGATGGATTCAGCAACCTCGTGGATGGCCTCCGATGGCGTCTCGGCTAGCCACTCGAATTCGCAGAAGCAACAAAGAACTATCGGCCGGTTAACGTTCATGCTTCTTGTGGCGTTCACACGTACGCACGTCGTTGCCGGTGATAGAGGCACTTCTAGGTTCGGACACGCTATTCGCGACTTTCGGGTAACCGCATAACTCTAGCGTTAGTGCTCCTGGACTCCTGCACGCTGTTGCTGGTGTCAAAGGCGCTCTCCCACTGGTCCTTTTCTCTTTTTGCGCGTTCCTTCCCATTTCGGACCGAGTTCCCGTTTTCGACTTGTCCGGGCCGGTAGGTGCTGTCTCGCAGGCAGCCACGCGATCGAGACGGTAGCGCAAACCGAACATTTACCGTCACAAATACCGTGTAAAATCTTCTCACTCCGAATCAGAATCTACAATACCAAATGACAAAATAAAATACAAATCAATTGAAACTGTCTTAGTCGTAATAGACAAAATAACTAAAGGTAATAGCAATAAAATAACTTTAAATAAACCAGCATCAGCCCCTAGTAATCCAATCCAACAACCAAATTGCTATAGGATGACTTACAGAGATATAAACTACATAGGAAATAACAAAACCCTACTCTATTTTAAGAGAAGTTTACAAGGTAAATAAACTTTTGTCAACTCTGTTTACTCACTTGAACTTCAACCGAAATACAAAGAACTCGTAGAACTTGATGATGTTATATTCACTTCGACCTGCCATCGTACTCGTACTTCTATAAAGCAACACCAGAGAATTTTCCTATATAGAACAACATGTGCAATAGGAATTACTTGCCCAACAAGATTCAACCACAGTGAAAGAATAAAACATATTATGGGTCAAAATGCCTTAATAGGATATTATACCATAGTGTAACAGGCTGCCGTTTAGTCTATAATACCTTTGGAACGTATCTATATAACTACTAAACGACGCCTAGTTATCTCTGTGCTCAAAGCACAGCAACCTACCTTGTCTCGGAGTGCGCCTGCGCAGAGTCTCTTCGATACTCCGAGTTGGGTTCCCCCAACTCACCGCTTGGCGGCGCTGTCGCCTTTACCTAGTAGCGCTCGCGCGGCCGCTGCTGGAAACTAAGTTGACGATTCCAGTCTACCGGTATCCGCGTGATCCGTGCTACGCTACCGGCGAATTCGAATGAAATGTAAACACTAGCGACCTCCGGACAAAGGAAAGAACAAATAACGATAACTCGTTTATTTAAAACTATTAATCGGTTTATTCGATTAGATCAAATACACGGAGAATCTGCCGAGAGTCTTGCGCACGCTTGCGCGAATGACAATCTACGCAATATGAGAGAGAGAGAGAAAACCGCGATCACCGCGAACTAACCGCTCGCACGCAACAATTAACTTCCTCGTGCACGCTGCGCGGGATCGCTTGCTATAACAATAATAGGGGAAGGTGCACCTACCGCAAGGACGATGAGGATACGGTGGCCAACCGTATCCGATCAACACGCGGCTAATAAGCTGCTTCGCTGCTTGCCGCACCGCCTCGATTACTGTTGCTGCTGTTGTTGTTGCTGCTGTCGCTGCTACTGCTGTTGCTGCTGTTGCTGCTGCTGCTGTTACTGCTGTTGCTGCTGCTGCTGTTACTGCTGCTGCTGCTGCACCCAGCACACCGCACCAAAGTTCGCACTGTTCGCCTTAGCACCACCACACGAAAACTTCAAAATGGCTCGGGAACAAAAGGTTAGATCGACACAGGCGGACTGAGTGACACAGTCATACTGCCTGTTGAACGCTCCCCTCCCGGTCATTGCCCCTCTCTCTCTCTCGCGAACCGATCGCGGCTTTTCTCGATCAGCCGCTCATTAACCTCGCGCGAGTCTAACGATTTACGCTAATCGTTGCAATAGCTAGATCAAAACTTTTTAGATTCTGGTGAAGAAGAATACTGAAAAAATTCAAATATTTAATAAAAAATTTATCTAAAGTACCATATTAGTTTTAAGTTAATAATAACTCTATCCAAACCGGCGAACAGAAAGTTTTCCGCTGGTGGATTGGAAATTTTGTAAAAAATTTTTGTAATGTATATATACAATCATTGTATGTAATTATGTATATATACTCTGGATAATAATAATAATAATACGATCTGCATGCGAATCTCGTTCTTTTGCTGCATTCACCCAATGCAGCATCAGGCGGTGGGAACTATCATTTTGCCTCCGTTTAATAAAGAAAATTTGTATTGATAAGTTGCGAGCTACTTGAACTTCAGTAGATACGGCTCTACTATTGCAATTAGCACTATTTTTACATGTACAAATAAGACATTTATAATATATTAAGACAATTTTCTCTGCTTAAACCATCCGACTTCTACAGTATATTTTATTTATTCAAATAAGTCCTACCACATACCTGATATATTATAGAAATAAATAAAGTTGTTATTTTTAAGTATGATTTAATTAAGTTATTCGTTACAGGATTCCATCAGCAGCTATGTATAGCACTGGAGCTAGCCTTGGATTGCTATATTTCACTGATTGGAGACTTGTACTTCAATATCTTCCCTATTATAGAGGAAAATTCCAAACATAAATGAGATTCCATAGTATTGATATTGTTTTATTATAATATTGTTCAAATGAATGCTCAGGCAATTGTATTCGAATTTTATCTACATATAAAATAACCAAAAATGTAGTGTAACAATAAATTTCGAATAGTTAATAATAAACTGTAATGAAGTTTCAGTTTATGTCAATTAATATTTATATTAAATAATATATTCCATAAAATGTACAAATAAAATGATCCATTACAATCGAAAACCTCTTCTATCCTAGGATATTCAGTATTTTTCAACATTGTGTTCCTTATACTATTGTTCCCTCTTGAATGATTTTCTTTCAGATTTTTCATATAGTAATATTATGGAGGAGAGGAGTACTGACAAAAATAATACTTTTTTTAGAGATATAGATAAAGAACATTTATTCATAATTAATTGTACAATATAAAGCATCTTCTTAACCATATCCTGTAATTTTTTTAATGAAAAATATCGAGAAATAATCTGATGACATAGCTTTTTTAAAAATGTCTTTTGAAAAAGATGATTTTATATTTTCATGAAAGCATCACTAAAACCAGCTCCTAACGGTCTTTGATTATTTTTTGCATTTTAAAACTTTTTAGTCATTTGAAGTCAAATAAGCAATTTTTCATTCAAATTTCTGCTATGTAACCTATTCGTATTTCGTACTAAGATGACAAAAATTTTACTGAGTTTTCAACGCCATAACTTTTTAACTAAACGCGTCAGAAAAAAATCAAGATGTATCAATTCCGACAGTTTAAAGTCTCGTCTTTCGAATGCCATCATTAAAATTAGTTTAAAATTTTTCTGGAAAAAGAGACGACGAATTTTTCACCAAAAAATGTGAAATTTTCAAAAATTTTCTAAATAATGTCAAATTGTGAACATTAAAGAGGGGGATCCCTATAACTGGAAATGCCTAAAAAGGTGACATTAGCATCTGCCCTTCAAAATGCCATTCAGATTTTTGAGGAATACAAAAACGTGAAAATGTTGTTCAAAACCTTCAAAAAGTCTATAAATGCATATAATTCTTTGTAAATGGTACATTAATTTTACGAATGAATGGCATATGATCATTTATACAGGGTGGTCCATTTTAATCGAGGATCCCAAATTACTCCGTTCCTAAGCGTTATATCAAAAAAAAGTTCAGACAAAAGTTGCTCAATATTAAGGGGGACATCTTTTGGTGACCTTGGATTCTACCTTGGACATGGCCCGTCAAGGTCATTTCAAGGTCAATGTTTTTTTTAAATGGGAACCTCCATTTTTTATCATGGATTCGGATTCCTCGTGAAATTCTACGTTCAGATAACATAACATTTCTGGGGTCGGGGTGACCCCCACCCTCAAATAACCCCCCCAAAAGTCATTTCAAGGATAACGTTGTTTTATTAATTTTAACCTTGATGTTTACTGCGGATTCAGGTTCTACGTTAAATTTTACGTCCAGATAATGTTTAACGTACAGGGTCCCGATATCCCTCCCTATTAACCCCCGCCCCCTAAAAGGTCGTTTAAAGGTTATCATTATTTTTTAATGGTAACTTCTATTTTTATTTCGGGTTTGGAATCCTTGTCTAATTCTACGTTCAAGTAACCTAATATGTCTGGGGTCGGGGTGACCCTCACCCTTGAATCCACCCCAAAGTCATTTATTTGAATGGTAATCCCGATTTTCACTGTGGATTCAGATTCCTCGTTAAATTCTACGTCCTGCTATGATGGCACAAGTGTGGGGTCCCTATGACCTCTCACTCCCCCCCCTCCCGAGGTCATTATACGGTTGACGGTATTTTCCAAAAAAAGACCTCTTATTTTGTTCACCAGGCTTACAGTCCTCAATTCCTTGATCCTTTAGCTCTATTACCCTAAATCCTTATACCTTACCCCCAATTCCTCTACTACCTAACTCAATAACCAACAAGGATAAGCCCAGAACGTTAATTCTCAAAGTCCTTGATTTCAAATTTCTTAATCCCGGAGCCCTGGTGTTCACTGTAGGGTATATTGGGCACAACGGTTTTCAAGATACTTACGGCCGATTCGAGACTATTAAGTTGTTTAAAATATTTTTCACTTGCTTTTACTTGAGTGAGAAGTAAGTAAAGCGAAAAAAAATTATAAGTTATTACAATTTTGTTATGTGAGAAATTCGAAATTTTTATATTACTATTGTTTACTGCAGGGTTCATTGTACACTACCATTCTGAACATGGTTGACTACACTTCTGCTGAAATCGTTGATATGTTGTTGGTTTTGGGAGAGCGTCAGGGAAATTATAACGCAGCTGAAAGACTTTATGCAGAAAGATACCAAAATAGACGTCACCCTAACGCCAATACTATTAGGACTCTAAAATTACGCGCACAAGGTGGAAATTTGCGTCGCCAACGCCAACACAATGACTATGGTGGAAATGACGTTCGAGTTTTGGTCATACTAGCACATGTACATATAAATCCTCACATAAGTTCACGTCAAATAGCCAGGGAAAGCCGTATTCCAAGAACCACAGTTTTCGGATTTTACGAGTCATGAAATATCACCCGTATCATATTACACTCACACAAGCTTTAACTCTTAATGATATGTTAGAACGTACTCGTTTTTGTCAATGGGCCTTGCAAATGCTTGAGTTGGATCCAAACTTTTTCCAATTCGTACTTTTTTCCGATGAAGCATCATTCAAAAGTAATGGTAAATTGAATCGGCATAACTGCCACTATTGGTCAAATGAAAACCATCACTGGTATCGACCAATAGATCATCAACATCGCTGGATTATCAATGTCTAGTGTGGAATTGTGAATGGTCACTTGATTGGACCTTATTTATTTGATGGAAACGTAACTGCACAAATTTTCTTGGAGTTTCTCCGCAATCATTTGCCTAGATTACTAGAAAATGTGGATCTAGCTACTAGACAGAGAATGTGGATACAACTAGATGGAGCACCACCACATTTTTCTGGCATAGTCCAAGGTTTCCTCGATAATGAATATCCTCAGAGATGGATTGGTCGCCGTGGGCCAGTCGCATGGCCAGCTCGTTCGCCAGATATGACATCACCCGATTTCTATCTGTGGGGATTGCTAAAAAACGTAGTTTACCAAGTAGCACCAACCACAAGAGAGGATATGATGGAGCGGATCCGACAAGCGTGTGCTACTATACCCAGAAATATTTTGTTGAGCACGGTGAGACAATTTCAGAGAGGACTTCATTTGTGCATTGTTGCTAATGGAAGAAATTTAGAACATTTACTAAATAGCTAAATAAAGTAATCATACACACACAAACAAACACACACGCACGCACGCACGTACGCACGCCCACACACACGTCCCAAGGCATCGGCGTGAGCTTTGCTGCGTCGAAGACGGGTATTGGCGCACCCGGGATCCCGAGCAATTGTGGTCTTTTCGAGACTGCGTTATGGAAGTGTAAAAGCAAACTGTGCTCATACCTGAAAGGTCGGAACGGCCGCAAACAGTTTCCCTCCGTGTCGATGGCAAGGGCGGTTGAGCAAAGAAATGCCTTATCCTGTCTAGGTAGGCGGACTGGATGGACCCTCAAGGCCTAGCCGTGTCTCGTGAGAATAATGACGTCGTCTTCAATCAAAAACCCAAACGTAGATTAAAATATAGATACACAGCCTAGTTCACAGGTGATGATACGCACAACAACAACCGAGCACACTAGTAGGAAACCCAGCGAGTGTCGCAATGGAGAATGCTTCAGGAGTGCTAGGGAAATATAGAAAAAAAATACACACACGCACACGCACAAACACACACACACAGTGGAAGGGGAGGGTGGTGGTGGGGGGATAAAACATCATAGAAGCATAAGAAGTGGGAATTTAGTGGTCATGGCGAGTCCCACACACGGGGAGTATCGAGCGGATCTCTACGGTGCATTACCTCTTCGGTAAAAAAAATACACAATACAGGAGGGGGGGGGGGGGGGAAGGTCATTGGGACCCCACACTTGTGCCGTCACCAGGACATAGAATTTTACGTAGAATCTGCATCCACGATACAAATTGTGGTTGCCATTCAGCTAACAACGTTAACCTTCAAATGACCTTTGGGTGGGTTATCCCGCACACACACATGTCACGTTATCTTAACGTAAAATTAGACGAGGAATCCAAACGCGTAATAAAAATAGGAGTTACCATTAAAAAATAACGATCACCTTTAAACGACTTTTCAAGGGGCGGGGGTTAATGGGGGGGTCATCGGGACCCCGAACGTTAAACATCATCTGAACGTAGAATCTAACGAAGAATCTGAATCCGGAGTGAAAATCGGGATTACCATTTAAAAAAATGTCTTGCGGGGGGATTCAAGGGTGGGGGTCACCCCGACCCCAGACATATTAGGTTACCTGAACGCAGAATTAGACAAAGAATCCAAACCCGTAATAAAAACAGGAGTTACCATTAAAAAATAACGATAACCTTTAAACGACCTTTCAGGGGGCTCGGGTTAATAGGGGGGGACATCGGGACCCTGTACGTTACACATCATCTGGACGTAGAATTTAACGTAGAATCTGAATTCGCAGTAACATCAAGGTTAAAATTAATCAAACAACGTTATCCTTGAAATGACTTTCGGGGGGTTATTTGAGGGTGGGGGGTCACCCCGACCCCAGACATGTTATGTTATCTAAACGTAGAATTTCACGAGGAATCCGAATCCATGATAAACAATGGGGATTCCCATTTAAAAAAACATTGACCTTGAGATGACCTTGACGGAACATGACCAAGGTCGAATCCAAGGTCACCAAAAGATGTCCCCCTTGATATTGAGGAACTTTTGTCTGAACTTTTTTTTGATATAACGCTTAGGAACGGAGTAATTTGCGGACCTCGATTATAATGGACCACCCTGTATATATTGTAACGTACCTATTATTCGGGGAAATGGAATGTTACGGAATAGGCTACCGCGAACGATGGGCTGCACCTGAAGGGCGCGATACCCGTGTGTAAGGTCGTGTGCAC